GGGATTGGAGGATATAGGACGCTCCACAGGAAAGGCGGGCCCCAGGGAGGAGAACATCGAAGTGGGGTTTCGGCGTCTTAAACAGAATGAGCTCGGTGGAGCCAGCGATCCAGTTGCTTCTCCGAGGGGAACACAGAGGGAATAACGGACACAACGAGTTTAGAAGGTGTTACAACTGCCAAAAAATAGGGCACATCGGAAAGGATTGTCCGCTGAAGAGGCCGCAAGTGAACAAAATAGCGAATAAGCCTTCGAGGAAGCCCGCGCTACCCCTTGAGACAGTTGGAAAAAAGGAAGCAGATAAAGAACACCGGAGTATATCTTCAATAATCACTGATGCGCGGAGTTTAGGGGTAAGGTGTGAGCTGGCTGGAAAGGAGGAAACCTTATTGGTAGGAAGAACGGTGTCAGTTAAGGCCAAACTGTTGGATATGAGTGTTCCTGCCATTCTGGACACGGGTTCCATGATCAGCATAATGCCAGTGGGTGTGCTGGCACGAGCACAAAAGTCAGGCTTTGATGTGACAGTTTAGAGGTGATACCAAAGGATCCATGGTGCCGGTATTTGATGCTTCCGGTAACAGCATGGCCTTTTTGGGTGCTGTCAAGGTAAACATAGAGTTGGAAGGAGGCGATAGCGGAGAAGTGGCCTTCCACATATCGGATATGAAGGAGGGAGAGTTGCTCCTCGGAACAAACGCTCTAGAAAAATTAGGCGTGCGTGTAATGCTGACACCAAAAGAGGCAAATAGATGGAGTAAGGGCTCGGAAAGGGTAGTCGTAGCAAGGCGGATATATATACCCCCATATGGAAAAGCGCTAGTTTCAGCGCGTTGCGAAGGATGACACCGAAGAGGAGGAACGCATCTTGTGGCCATGTAAGGAATGGGATTCGCTGCTGGTGTATTCAGAACAAGGAACCAAGAATTGAAAGTTCCCCTGATAAACGACAGCGAAGACCCCATGATCTTGAAGGAAGGGGAGGAAATCGGTCATTGGGGAACGGAGAAATGGAGAGAAGGAGTAGAAGACTTTAGGCCACTGATGATGGATAGCGAGCCGCATAAGCTCACCCCAGAGGAAAGAAAAGATTTGCTTTACGAGCAGGTGAGAGAGAGCACGGGAGTAGAAAAGTTAAGTAGAGACGTGCAAAGTGTGTTGGAAGAATTCCCCGAGGCGTTTTCGGTATGTGACAGAGAATTAACGGGAACAGATCGAGTGAAAATGGACATTGACACTGGGGAGCACAAGCCAGTGAAGATGAAAGCTCGTCCTGTTCCTCTAGGTGTACGAAAGAAGCTGAGAGAGCTGCTAGCAGATCTGGAGAGTAGAAAAATTATCGAGAAAAGTAGCTCTGAATGGGCTTTTCCGATAGTACTAGTAGAAAAGAAAGATGGGAGTCTTAGGCTGTGTGTAGACTACAGAGAATTGAATAAAAGGATTAAGCTAGACTCTTACCCTTTGCCAAGGACCGATGCATTGCTTCAAAGCTTGTCGGGAAAGTCATACTTTTCGACGTTGGACCTTTGCAGTGGGTACTGGCAAATCCCACTGACGGATGAGGCGAAAGAGAAGTCAGCTTTTGCAACAACAGAGGGCCTCTTCCAATTTACCGTCACCCCGTTTGGTTGAGTACCAGTCCCCCTGTGTTCCAAAGGTTGATGGATTCGGTGTTGCATGACCTGTTAGGCTCAGAAGTGTTTTGCTATATCGACGATATCATTAGTTTGCACGGAAACACGAGAAAGGCACGTGGAATTGCTGAAGAGGGTGTGCACGCTGTTGCAGCAGGCAGGTCTGCGACTTAAGGCTGGGAAATGCGTTCTGATGCAAACTAGTGTGCGTTTTCTCGGACACGTGATTGACAGTAAAGGTATTCATGTAGATCCAGGAAAAATTGAGGCAATACAAAAATATGCGGTGCCCAAGAATGTGAAAGAGCTGAGGACTTTCCT